ATCTAATCTTTAGTGAAAGAAGCTGATAACTGTAGATTTTTTCGTTTAACATGTCTCACTCGGTAACTAATTTATAGACTGATTATCAGATTGAAAGTTGACCAATCTTCAGATTGGAAAAATTCAACACTTCTTTACATTTAATGATAATATACCTGTTTGTTTGATCAAATAACTACAAGTTTTAACTTAACAGTTATAGTTATTAATAATACGATGATGTTGAGGCAGCAAAATCGCTAGAATAAACTTATTTTGTAAAAAAAAAAAAAAATATGAAGTAGTACAACATAACTATTTCCTCATGTGACTGCCAACGTTTCTTTACTTTTGCTTTTTACTAAATTATAAACTGATTTTCTTCGTTCAGTTCGTAGATCTAAACCCCTCGTATCTCTTAACGATTAACGTCAAGTAGTGACGATATTAATGTCCAACACAAATAAAAATAAAATGAATTGGTGATTTGATGTAACACTCCTGTCCCTTAAATAATATTAAAGTTATTTTATATAAACTATATAAGAAAATCTTCACACAATATACAAGAAACTCCGAAACAATGCGCCAGTTTGTGACTTATTCGTTCCTATTGACTAGAACACGTTGTTACTATGCTATACAGTTACAATTTGAACAAGAAGTGAAAGTAGATAAATAAAGGCCTATCTTGTTTGTTTCAAGCTAACTTGTAAGTTCGCAGACATACCGCTGTGCCACTTGGGGGCAGGCCTTTCTAGTCGTGTCACTTTCTTCATACCGAACACCCACCATAATTCATTTAATTTACTACTCAAAGTTCCATAAAACATTCTACATTGGAGGGGGGGGGGATAATAATATATATTGGATGTGTGGAAAGCTTTTTTCCCAATAAACGTTAAATATGGGAAGGTCGAGAAGTTGTGTTAACTACATTTTTCAGAATTTTTTTTTTATTGCTGTTGTTTCCAAAGAATCGAAAACAAATGTTAAGTTTCACTCATCTTTAGGTAAGTATGCAGTAATTCTTAAAGGATCTTGCTGTTGTCCTAGTTATAGGGTTGGATTCAGATTGAATAAAGTTTACCAGCGGAGATTTAGCATCCACAATGAATCGTTACGTATTGTCTTAAATACTATTCTAGTTATGAGGGCCCGTATCTTAGTAACCAACTCTACTATCTGCTAGTGTCGAACGCACATATATTTTTGAACATTGGCCTATAGACTTTACTACAGTATTTTATTTGTTTGTTGTTGTTTTTTTTTAATTTCGCGCAAAGTTACACGAGGGCTATCTGCGCTAGCCGCCCCTAATTTAGCAGCATAAGACTAGAGGGAAGGCAGCTAGTCATCACCACCCACCGCCAACTCTTGGGCTACTCTTTTACCAACGAATAGTGGGATTGACCGTAAAATTATAACGCCCCCACGGCTGAAAGGGCGAGCATGATTTGGTGTGACGGGATTCGAACCCGCGACCCGCTGATTGCGAGTCGAGCGCCCTAACCACCTGGCCATGCCGGGTCACAGTATTTTAAATAAATAGTTTAAAAGAAAAAGTTAATGCGTCGTCCAGCGCAGTTGCGCAACACTCTAATTTTGGATGGAAATTTTCTACGCCTACATTTGACATTGTAGATCAAACAAGAATATAAAACATTAATGACGTATTTGTTTTGTTTTCGAAGGCTCCTCTCCATAATAAAAATGATCTTCTGTTTAATATAACATGAAAGTCATTAACAAATTAATCCAAAAGTTCATAGTCTCGCCAAAACTATTCAAAGCAGGAAAGTTTTAGTTTAATCAGAAAGTAAATTCATAGAATTTGTTTCATCTTATAATGAGTGATAAACTCAATCATGTTTCTTTAACGTGTAACATAGTTATTTTGCCAAATTAAAAAAAAAGCTTTATCTGCAATATACAATTTATATATATATATATATATAAAGCGTGTGTTAAACCATTGGATTGGACTTTTTATTACAGACAATTCAGCGCACGTGTACGTTTACTAGGTTTTTATCAACGGAACATTAAACGCTTTGAAGTTCAAACATATTTTTCTTGGGTTATCAGCAGTTCCTGATCAGTAACGGTATTTTTACTTCAGAAAAATAACAATTATTAGATATTCGTAATGAAACGAAGTTATCAAATATTTCATGTAATAAAGCATACATTTAACAATATGTAATAATAAGTTCGTACGTTATTACTTCACAATTATATAATAACTAGTCAATTAGGATAGTAGGTTTTGAATGAGGTCTTTTCCCGGACAAAACCCAAAACAGTTTATATTTTTGAGATAAATGACCGAATTAAATAAACAGAAATATTACAATGGAAATATTTTTCAATTTTGCATATGAATTCAATGAAAAATTAATGAATCTCATTTCTGCTGATAATTATGACCCTGATTATTTTTCTTTGAATTTTAACACAAAATTAAATATTTTATTTCAATTGTTTCTTCACTTATTATAAAGTTAAATCATGTAAGTTCTGATGCAGAACAAATTAGATACTAGTAGAAATAAACGACGTGACCGACTGTGCTTACAAAAAAATAATGTCCTTGATTATGTTATTTACCTCCTGGAATACGAACATTTTCTGTAAACCTTACATGCTCCATGTTTCTTCTTTCATCATGAGTGTTCCTGGTGACACCACAATCGTTTTGTCTTTACTCACAAAAAAAGTCTTATAATTTCACAATGAGTGTTTGTTTGTTTCTAATTAAGCACAAAGCTACACATGGGCTATCTGTGCTCTGCCCACCACGGGTATCGAAACCCGGATTCTAGCATTGTAAGTCCGCAGACATACCGCTGTGCTACTGGGGGGCCTTCACAATGAGTGATAAATTCCTTATGCGATTATCATCGTGATTTTCTCTGATTACACAGGCCTGCGAGTTTTAACTTCATAAAAGTTGTTTTGGTTTTGATAACGAATTGCAGTCTCAAAACTATGTGTTGTGGTCTTTCTTTTATGTATTGCGTCTGGAGCATCTAGTTTCAATGACAATAAACAGTCATCATGCTGGTGTTCCACCTTTCCTGTTATCTCCTCTCCATTTCCCTAATGTCTTGATGAAATCTTTCTTCTTTTTCTTCGCTGACGGCAGAGAGATTTGCAGGGAAATAGTCAATATGTGACTGTAAAAAATGAACTTTCAAGATCATATTACAACCCAACTCTTTGAACTTAACAGCATGTTATTGACAATATTTTCATAATTTGGGTCCTTGTTGTTTCCTAAAAATTTGTCAATAACATCTTTAAAGGCAATCCATGCTTCTTTTTCAACTTTCCTCATTGTCATTTCGAACTGTTCATCCGAAGTCAATTTCCTAATCTGATACCCAACAAAAATCCCTTCTTTAAGTTTCGCTTCTGAAAAAGCTGAGAATTGACCACATAGATACTTGAAACAGTCGCCATCTTTGTCTATGGCCTTTACATACTGCTTCATAAAGCCCAGTTTTATTTAAAGTAGAGATATCAGGACATTCTTTGTGTCAACCAAACTTTCATGTTCAATATTTTTCGACCCTGGTATCATACTGACTCAGCGTGGTCATTGCTTCTTTATCCAGTACCGATTTTGTGCTTTGCTGTCCAATTCGTACAAAAAACATGGAAACTTTGTATAACCGGATTGTTGACCCAACAACATACAAAGGACTTTAAAGTCTCCACAAAGTAGCCAACCATGTTCTCTGTATTTGACCTTATTAAGAAGTTCGAGTGAACCGAATGAGGAATAGGAACAAATGCATATATGTTACCTTTTAGACTTCTTTTGGAGGGATCAATGAACAATCACCACTCACTTGGTTCATAAACTGTTGCTCCTAGCATTAGTATTAATTCAGCAATATTGTTGTAATAAATCAGTGAACCTTCTTGAGAAAAGTATGGTATAAACTCTTTTCCGCGACTTCTAAACCAGTAAAATGATGTCCCTGGAGAAAGTATGTTCTTAGCCTGGACCAAGTCTGGACCACAAAATTTCTGAAGAATCCTTTGGAAGGCCCAAATCTCTCACCAAATCATTAAGTTCACCTTGCGTGAAAAGCTGTGGTTCATCAGACATTTCAGGTTGAAAACAATCCCTATCATAATTTCTATTGACATCAGATTCAGAATCAGATGAAACTGTATCAAGAGACTCCGGTGGAGTAAGTACAAGTACATCAGGTCCATGAGCAACAGGTCTTATAGCTGATTGAAAGTTCGGATAAGAAATTTCCTTTTTATTTCTAGTGTTTTAGCCTTGCACGTTACATGAGTAAAAATAGCAGTCATCTCCGTGGTTTCTAAGCTCACGCCAGACCATTGAAATTCCAAAAGGTAAAATTTTTTTCTTACTTTTATTCCATTATCTCAACTCTTCAATACAAACGGTGCAAACTTTGTGCGGAGCCTATGATTTATATTGGTCCCCAAGTTTTATTCCAAAATACGCGTAATAAGCTTTTTGACGAATTCTTTAATGCTTTGCCTTTGTTTAACTTTACAACAAATATAACAGAATATGTTTGGGTCATTTACACAACCTCTTGTTGCCATAGCGACGAATAAATAATCTTGAAAGAAAAAAAATAATGTCAAAGTGCACGCACAAATAAATACCATCCAGAAATGACAGGTCATGTGGCCTATTAACCGTTTATATACTAGTGGTGTGTTTCTCGTGGGTTCCAGAACAATTATAAGACTCTCACGTCGCGATTGGTCTAGAGAGATCTATAGCCAGTGGTTGTCAACATTCTAAGCATAACAAAATGAGACTCGATTTTAATGAAAATCATTCACTTATACAAAAGTACATATGACGTTTTGTGAAAAATCTTTACGTGTTGGAGAAAAATGGATATCATTTTCAGATTCAACGTACAGGAATTAATGTAGAACATGTAAAAATTTCAAGACAATAAAGCCATCGCAGACTTGTGTTATAAAACATAATCTTATTCATTCAAACACTTTTTCTTGTTTTAAGCATATGTAGATTGTAGTTCAAGTATTCATTTAGGTATTTTGTTTCTTTGGTATACAGAGCTTTCCTATCATTCAAACTACCATGAGCGCTTCAACACCTAGTAAAATGTATAAAATTATAATGACTATAACAAAGCATCAGTGTGATCAGGTCGATAGATGGCGCCACAGAGTTCGTTTCCAAGACTCATTTCACAATTTCAAACGCTTGTTTATTCTCGAGTTTTCATGTGTTGTTAAAGCCAGCAACAAGAAATGATGACATTAATGTTCACCACAAATAAAAAAAAAATGAAATGGTGATTTGATGTTCTAGTCCTGTACCTGAAAGAACAGCAAAGCTATCTTATATAAACTAGTAACATTGCTTTTTACAGGTAGAACTGTTTCTATTCACGCTTCAGATTGAACAACTATAAAAACATTTCAGGGTCTGTTAGGCTTATAAGCTTGTTTATTCTCCATTATCCGCATTTATTTACAACTTTTTATTCTACTAACAATAAACAGGTTTCGTGCATATAATTTCTAAAATTTCAACATACATTTAAAAATTAATTGCAAATAATACTTTACTTGTTGTTAAGCGTACAGCTACACAATGTGCTTTATGAACCGTACACGCCACGGGTATCGAAGCCAGGTTTTTAGCATTATAAGCCCTCAGGGAGGGGTAATTATTTGGACGCAAACTACTCATTTAATGTAGTTGTAATTTTGTGAAACGATTATTCAAATAAGTAACAGTTTCTAAGCGGTAATTCTGTGTGCTTATACGCCAAAAATTGGGGTTCAATACCCGTTGCAAGGACAGCGCAGGTAACACATTTCGTAGCTTTGCGCTTAAAACTTGAAGAAATAAGTAAATAAATAGAGCACGTTAACATCATAGTTCTCAGGTGGCTCAACAGTTAGCTTGAGAAACTATAACGCTAAATAACCGGGCTCTATCCTCGCGGCGGACGCAACGCAGATACCTTATTGTGTAGCTTTGTGCTAAAACAATTAATACTGTACATTCTGTCGAAGTCAACTTACAAACTAAACTACGACAACTTTCGTTTCTCAATGTGAAGTAATAAATGATTCAGATTATATATTCAAGAAATTACGAAGTTTCATTCCTTACTTTTAATTTAAACCCCTTCTCCTTTAAATGCAAATTTTATTACCTTACAAAGTATAACATTTCCTTAATAATGCAAGACCACTGATAACGAAGTTTAAAATTAATTATTTTAAGAATATACTTCATTAAGTTTACTAATATTATACAATGTTATCTAAAGCATTATCGATACTAAAGCATAAAGTGAGACAACTGTTTGAAAAAGAACAACTTACATCAACTTCTCGGTATTTATGGGATAATTTGGTCTATAACGTGTTTTTAATACGGCTTTTCTATTTAAAATATATAAGTAAGTCACATGAAGGTTAAGCAACTGTGTTAAAGTGTTATCTAGTTACGTGTAATCTCGTGTTTACACACTTGATTACTTATTCACAGTGTGTCAGTTAGTGTCATAGTCCGGTACTACATTATGTTATTGCAACTGAGAGGAGTATTTTTTATCTTGTCATCATATTTTTATAATGCTGTCAGTTATGAAAGCTGGTTAACCAACTTCAGGGTATAAGCTTTAGTTCGCTCTCATTGGTCTGTTTTTATCATTGTTGTTTCTGTTGCATTCCTTTTCATCAGAAGAACCACTTGTCTGTATACAGTGCAAATTTGAGCAACCTCATATGTTCCTGATTTAGCTGTACATTTTGATTTACAATAAGCATTGCAAATAAAAATTCAGGCTAATAGAAGGCGTATCCCTTCTGCTTTTCAAATTTTACCCCAAAGATACCGTTCTGTTATTCCATTAATCCTTCTGTTGTTCAACTTTTATCCCAAAGATACCGTTCTGTTATTTTATTAATCCTTCTGATGTTCAACTTTTATCCCAAAGATACCGTTCTGTTATTTCATTAATCCTTCTGATGTTCAACCTTTACTCCAAAGATACCGTTCTGTTATTCAACAGTTTAATGTTTCCACTACGTAGTTTGGGCCTCAGGTTTAACGCTTCTCCTCTTGCAGTTAAATGTAAACCAAATATCATTGAAAGGCTATAGGTGAGGTTGTGATGCTTTTTTGTCTCATTTAGAAGTTAATTGTAATTATATTTTATGTATATTCTATCAAAAATATTGGAAAACACACCTTGGGAAAAGTTACATTGTGTTTTGCCACTGCACCCCATTTTAATACGTAGTGGGTCTACTTTAGGTATAAATCACAGCCTACACTTTGTTACTAACATACGCTATTTAAATTTAAAACATATTTAATGGAATAGACTGCCACTCCTCTTGCAAAGACTATCCAAGTTATCAGATCTATCCGTTCTGTCCCACCGTCAGAATATTAAAGCATTCCATAACAGGTCAGTTGGATTCAGAGCAGGCCAAGGCACATTTGACATTAGTTATCACAAATTTATAATGGACATTGCATATAATGCAAAGGCATTATCAAGCTGAAAGTGGAAATACAGGCGGTGCAGCTTTGTGTAGAACCTTACAATACCCAAGAGCATTAATATCTCCCTTGACTATTACATAGTTCAAGCT